TTAGGCATAGCTCTATCAAGAAAATATATAATTAGGAAGGGTCATGGGAGCAATGTGTACATCAGGCAAGTCAGGGTTGAAAATCTGGGCCTCTGCAAATTTGGCAAATGGGAATCTGCCTTCTTCACTTTATTTTTTGTGCAACCCCCTCATAATCCTGTTTTGTGCAGCAGTGGTGAATGAAGAATGGATACAGTTTGAAGTGAAACATTTCTTCCTTTAAAAGCAATTTCCTCAGCTGGTTGATCAAAATGTTGTCCAAGGGATGGTAGGTTTGCTGTCAGCTAAACCCGCGTAAAGAATTTACACCTGTATGCTATTTAGGCATTCATAATGTCAGCTGCTGCAAAAGGCTTTTTGTGCCTTTGTCTTGGGGAGAAAGGAGGTCAAGTTTATTTTTCTTCAAATATAGCAATTACAGAACTAAAAGTGCTAAAGTGTTTGAATTAGTGTTCCTTTTAAAAATGTGTTTTCTAAGAGTTGGATCAATGATGCTAAAAGAACTGCTATTCAATACTTTTTATCTTTATCATTTAGTTCCCTTTTCAGCTCTGTCTATGGCAAAAGTTTCCCGATAGCTCAGATGAGAAATTATGGAAATATCTTAATTCACTGCAGTTCTCACTCCAGCCACCTCAACAAAGACTAAATCTTTGATGAACCAAGCTAAATTCTAACGGACTTCTCCAGACCATGTGAAAATCAAAGTTTTTCAGACATCCAGATATTGGGTTGATTCCTTCAGGAAAAAGAGAGGTATATTCCTGATACCCCTGCCACATTTCAAGTCCCAGCCCCCATAGATGAAGGGAGTAGAGCACCTGAGCTGAAGTGCTTTAAGAGTATACTATAAACTGGGAAAACTATTTATTTTATCCTAGCCTTTCTCTGACAGCTAACCCATTTCGTTGACACTTCGGGCAGCAACAGTAACGTAATCACCCTGAGACATGAAATTTCAGCTCGGAAGTTTACATTTCAGCTAAATTATAAGTAACCGAGAACAGTTTTATTGTGGAAGGTCTCAGGAAAGTTGTGATGGGAGGCAACACTGTGTGCTATCCTTAGTACAGTCCCTGATTATGAAATGTTTGTAATATTCGGCAGGCATGCTGAGCATGTATGAACGTTGTTGGTATGTTTGCCTGGAGGATTAATGGCATTTAATGACATAATTGACATACGTTTCAAAGCAATGCAGAATGTTTCTGCAGCTCCTCATCTGTCTGCTATGCCTGTAGAAAACAGCGATGCCTCCATGGCTGCTAATGCAATTATAACAAATTTCATAAATAAGATCCACTCTTCAGGGTTAATTTCCAAATTTATTTACGCAGTGAATAAGAAATGAAGTTAAAAGCAGATATTTTAGGAAGTTAGACAGGACAGGAATGAGTTTAAATGTTAACACAGATTAATAAGTAGAATACTGTGTTCATTTGAGCTAATTATTTTCTCAGAAGGCATCCATCCTATTTAGGCAATTACACAGCCTCAAGTCTTCATTTCTTACCGGTACTATCAAGGGACTTCATCTGCTAGTTTAAGTTTAAGACTATTCATGTGTTTTTAATAACATAGATTTAATTTGAAAGCTGCATTTGAGCTGTTTCCATGTGAATATTCCACACTTACAGAGAAATGCATTTATTCTAAATTTAAACGGTAACTATAGTAACCAGCATTCACTATTTCAATAGGAAATACATAAGCCCACTCATACAGAAGGAAATATGTTGTGTTAATTATCATTCTAACAAAAGACGAGAGTTTGTATTTTAAAAAAAATAACTATCAGAAACTAGGTATTCTTACTATCCAGACTTAGAAACTGAGAGATTTGCAGGAATGTATTCTAATGTCATTTGTGGGAAACTGTGAAAGTTAGAAAAAGGGTTATATCTGGACCAATTTGGAGGATATAATAAACCTCATTTTTTTCACAGCTATTTATTGTCTAATAAAAATACAATATTGAACTTTTAGAAGCTAACTTTGCAGGATTCAACTTAGATTTCCTAGAGCGATTCCTAATCTTAGACAAATAGAGTTACTTTTTCAATTATAGGTAGATGATCAGATTTTTTTTGCTTGGGCCAGTAGATGATAGATTCTGTAGATGATTTTGCAAAGGTAGTAAATGTCACTTTTACAGTAATGACCATATTAGTCAAGGTAAGTAAGGATATGAATAGCTTCTTCCTTTCTTTAGATTTCTTTCTCTGCACCTGTTTCTTTGGGTTGATTTTGTTAAGGGAAGAGCTCACCCCTTCTTAGGTATTTTTTAATTCCTAGCATTATTTAAGCATACTGTGTTAAAAGTTTAAATTTAGATGTGTAAATCTTGTAGTAATGATGAACTTCCAAAATATACTAAGGCCATATAGTTTTCCCACAGGTAAAATATTTATTGCATATATTTCAGTATGCTAATAGATTTTAACTTTACCGACATGTTTTTAAAATAGTGCTCATTCATTGAATAATGGAAATTCAGGATATTGATCCATAATAATTAGGAACAGAAACACTGAATTATCTAGTGCTATGTCCTTTATAAATGCCTTGTGTGTGTCTTTTTTCCCCTCTATTCTGAGGACTGTAACTTGTGTTTGCCCAGTCTTGATTCTAAGATACAAATAGATTGAGATGCCACGCATTCCTCTTCTATATTATTTTGCTAACTAAACTTATTAAGCATCAAAAAGTAAAATTGTCTGTGTTTTCTTTAGAATTAATTTGTCCGGCATCAGCTCGTTGCCGATGATTTTGTTTGATACGTGTTTCTCTCCCAAAGAGAATTTTTTAGATCGCAGTATTTTCTCACTCTGAAGGCGTTGCATGTATACATGTATAACATGTATAACAACTCCTCTCTCAAGCTGGCTTTATTGAAGCTACAGATATCACGACCAAATGACTTGTGAGGCTTTTCATTGGAGCATTTCAAGTTTAAATATATGAATATCAGAACCGTACAGACTAAGCCAGGCTTTGGGTCATACCACACTGCAGTCTGGGCTCTCGGGTCCCAGGCGGTGGGCTCATGGGGGCTGTGTGCTCTGGGTTTTCAGCTCAGATCAGGACTGAGCTTTCAAAGCAAATGTCCTTTTTGCCCTCCCTTTCAGCACTTTGGGTCATCTCGTATGACAGTCTTCCGAACATGTACCAGATTCATTTGTATTAAACTGATCATGAAGATGGGCTCACCCAATGCATCCACCTACTAGAGGGTGGTCAATTCCTGAGGCCGGACTGGAACTAGCCCAGAGAAAAATTCTGAAATATATCCTTTCTGTCCTCTCCTATTTGGCCACATTATTTGGTAATGTGAATCTGCCTATTTTTGTTTTCAGAATTCACCCGCTCGCATTGAGGTCTTCACTGAAATGAGTCAGAAAAACAACTTATTTTCATTCTATCTGCTTGCAGATGTTTGTGGAGGGCATGGTTTAGATAAGACCACCTACCCAATTTAAGGTGTTTTAGAGTAGTTGAAAATAGCTCTTCTGCCCCTGATCATTTGGACATCTCCTCAGAAATACTCTTTTTGGTGAAACTGTGTATATTTAAGTAGTCAAAACCTCAAGAAAATTTCTCTGCACTTGGATATCATAACAAATAGCATACCTCCCTCTTTCAGAAGATAAATTTGAAATCCATTTGTAAATAAGGTTTTTAAAACAAGAAAATCTTTCCAGCTATAGCATATTCAAAATTACTTCACCTGAGCTGAGGGCAAGACCCTTAAAAATCTGTGGTATTCTAAAGTCGGTATTTAGAACCTAAGATTTAAACAGTGATCATGTGCAAAGGGCTCTGCAAAGCTATAAGCACATCGTCGATGTGTGCATGGTGAATGTTGGTTTATGGGTTTGAGGCAATTTGAGAAAATTTAAAACACCTAACACATTTCTTAAGGATTGCCCACAAACACATTGGCCCCTGGAAAGCTTCTAGGTACCTCCCTCAAACTCATCTTAGTAAGAGATTCTGTTTTTCTTCAAGATTCAAGGGAAAGGTTGCTCTGAGGGATAAGGGAAAGGAGCTTCCACTTCCCTTCTTCTAGTCTGCTCCAGCCACACTAGTTGCTGGATCATCTCAGTTGGCTGATTAAATCTTCAAAGCCATTGCAAGCTATTCACTTTTATTACTCGGTTAGTTTTGTGCTGTGGAGAAGGGAGCAATGAGGGGCATTGCTGGGAGCAATGGGAAATGGCAAGACTCTCCTTTCCAACAACTGCAATTCCTTACATCTTCTCAACCCATCAGGTGAAACTTTATCCTTTTTACCTTGCATTTGCCATGAGCTAAGACAACATTCACCACCGCTGTGTGTCACATGCTGTTTTGTAAGGCATTTTCAGCTAATTTTAAAGTATTTTAAGGTATTTTTTAAGCAGTTCATAACTCTGAAACCATGGAGGGGGTTTGAAAACATATTCAGAAATGGTGGGATTTGTTTTACGTTATTTGGATGATCTAAAAGTTCATCATTTATGTAAGCGAGGGAATCCAAGTTCCCTCTATAGAAGGACGAAAAGGTGCCTGCACAGAGAGAAATTTATTCCACCATAAAGTGCACATCTGAAAGCACCAAGGTGAACAGCTTATTCTCTCTCTGCCCTTGTTTCATTCCTCTGACCACAGAAGAACTCTTAAAAGTTGCCTGATTTTTTGGACAGCTTAAATTAGAGAGAGTAAATCTGTCCTTAACATGCTTTTACCACACTCCCATGTGTGTTGGGAAGGAGTGCCGTTCTGCTGGTGTAGGACAGCCAAGGCTCCTCGAAGCCAACCCCGTGTTTGCCAGGAAACTGCTGCTTGGCTAAGGAAGTGACCCAATGTCTTTCTCTTTCCAATTTATAAAATTTCCTTTAAATGCTCACTTTATGCATAGTAAGCCACCAATGGTCTCGAGAGATGAGATATCAGATATATTGTTCAAAACGCTGCTAAAATCAACATGTGTTTCTTTATTTGTGTTTTCTTATCCCCAGAGTTGAAAGGAAGGAGCGTGCGCGTTTGAAGACGGTGAAATTCAACGCAAAACCTGGTGTAATCGATGCAAAAGGGGTACGTAAATAGTGAAACCTTTTGAAATTGCACTTTGTAAATGTTTTCTATGTTTCAGAGTAGAGAAAATTGTAGCAAAATAAGGAATATTTAGATTGTTGCAACTAAGACCTGGAGTATACTGAAATATAGACAGGAGAATAATATGATATAATCTTCTAAATAATTACATATTTTTTATAATAATACTGACTGACAGTGCATCCTAAATGGAAGATACTAAGGAAATAAAGAGCATTCTGTTATAGCTACAATTGTAGTTAAATGACGGCTAGAGAAGAGATGTTAAAAACCAATGCAGATGGTTAATTGTTTCATGAAATAGGGCAAGAAGTGTAAATTCCCTGGCTTCAAAAGCTGTTAAATCTCAAACAAAAAGTTGAAAGTTAAAGAGTCCCAGATGCAAAATTTAGGTTTCCAATGTTCTTGCTTTAACAGTTGTGACAGACATTGAACACAGTTGTGTTTCGCAGCAGGCACGATGGGCCAGCCAACACAAAACGTGCAAGTTCCCTTCCACCAGCACTATCCGGACAGAGCAGCCTTCCTGCTGTTACCTCTCTGCAGCATCACTCTATTGTGCCCAGCAGTCAACTGTTTTCATTAACCTGATGTCTAATATCCTGTACGTTGCTGGCTGGTTGGCAAGAGTTATAGCATGAGAAATGCCCACAGTCCTGGCTGTTGAGGTATATTTTTCTGGTGAAGTGTAGCTTGCATTTGTAGCAGTAGTAAATACTTGATGTGACATTTGCAGGGATTTATTTTTGAAAACAGCCCAGTTGGCATACAGGGCATTTACGACTGAGGGCTTCTGTGAGCAAACCAAGAGACAGAGCTTCAGAAACCATCAGCAAAAAGTCCTGTTTGGCTGCAGAAAGCACAGGGCAGGGCCAAAACCGGGTGATGAGAGGGCACAGTCATACATAGGTGCTAGCATTCAGCAGGTCCCTTCCAGACCTGCTGTTCCTGTGGTCCTCTGCCTAGTTTGAAATTCTCATTCTTAATCTCTTTCTTCTTGATTCGCTTCCCTCTGTAATGGGAATAATAATACTTCTCTTATCCCAGTTTATTCTGTCCTTTCACTTAGACTGTAACAGGTCAGCAGGGTAAGAAGTTCCTCTTGCCATGAATATGCAGTTCCTAGCACAGTGGGTCCCAAGCCTCTGCATCTCAGCAAAATAATATTTCGGACTTGCAAATACTTCCATTTACTGCTCTACAGAACAGTTACTGAGTTCAATGGAAAGGCAGAATAATTGCACTGACTGAAACCAGTTTTTCAGATTTATAAGGTATGTGGAATCAGAGTTCAGTCTCTGCAAATCATTTGCACATGCAGATAACTTGGTATAAAATATATAACAAACTGTGTTGTGAAAGGACTTATTCATCTCATTGCATTTCTTCAGGAGCCAGAACTCCATTTTTTTTAGTTTGAAATGACCAGTGTCTGCAACTGTGTAAATTAATGTTGCCATTTATTTTGGGAGATAATAAGCTTTATATTGCCAATGAAATCACTTGTTAAATGTCTATTTCCTGTATATAATCAAAGCCTCAGAGGAATAATTCATTCATATAACTAATGGTCCTTATTCAAGTGAGTCTGTCAAGAATTTAATTACCTCTTGATTCCCCAAATTGTTTTTCCATTTTTGTCATCAGTGTGGCATTTATCTTCCAGCCACTCACATCAATGTTTGTTTCAGTGCTTAGGAAATTGTGTAATTACAGACCAAGACCATTGTACCCATTTGGGACCACACTTTCTATTTTTAGTATCTATATCTATACTATATTTAGTATCTAGTATCTATACTATATTTAGTATCTTTTGTCTATGATAAAAAAAAAAATTAAAAATCCCACAACTTCAAGGCTTTTTTGGAAAAGATAATGTAGGCTTGTGTTTGAAAGAGCATAAAGGGAAGAAGGATTCGCTGTTAAGTTAAGCATCAACATGTAAAATGAGGTGTTTGAGTACGTATATATATGTATGCGCATTTTAGGGATCAGCATTTCCATTTAGTCATGCAGAGTTCAAAAAGAAGAGGTGTAAGCTGTATAACAGTGCCTGCTTTACTTTTTTTTGTCTGAAAGAAATTCAGTCCAGATGAACAGGGCTGCAGTGAGCTCAGGAGAAGTCTTCTGTTGGAAGTCAAGCTAAAATTCAGATAGGAATGGGCTTATGTGTGCGTGTTGCACCTTTGTGCTCATACATTCATGACCGTGTGGGCAAGGGGTACTGTCTTAATTTACTCTAAAGATGAAATTGGGAGAATAGGTTTTCATGTGATACTTCTAAATTTGGCCAGGAGATGTGCATGGAAGCATTTTTTTTAACAAAATTGAACTGAATACAGAGAATGTTTGGGGGGTTTTGCACAGGTAGAAGGTTTATCCTGTTGTGATTTTACTTGAAGCGTCTTGCTGGTCAGGATTCCTTTCTTTTCCTATAGAAGAAACATTTAAGAGCTAATAAGCAACAGTAAATATTTTATGAGATATAGTGCCAACATTTCTTTGAGATAACCTCTCTCTGATTTTAAAATACGAACTTTCTAGTTATTCAGCAAGTTTTAAAAGTCTTATGCATTTTCATCTGTTTATGCCTCATTTTTAATCCCAAATCTGGAGAAAAGATGCAAAGAAAGTATTATATATGGTGTGACATTTGTAGCTGATCAGCTTCGTGTGTCTCACTGAAAAGGTGTTTAAGAACACTCAGGAATACAGTTGACAAACCTGTTAGCAGGGATAGCTAAAGGATAGTCTTCTCAAAGGACCAAAAGTTCCTTTTTTTCAAGCCCAACTTGGGTGCATTACCTCATCTAGAAAATTAGTTCAGCATTATTTTTAAATGTGATTTAGCAAATTTGAATCACTTTTAATTCATTTCACTGGACTCCTCCAATCCACGGCTTGTGAAATAAAAGTCTACAAAATTAGAATGGATACACAAACAGGGATTGTGAATCACAGAGAGCTCCAGTGAAATCTTCTGGTCTCAAATTTAAATCAGGCAACAGACAGTACCTTTCCATACAACGCATAATTAAATTCGGATGCTCATTATTACAGGATATTGTATAAAGAATAAATAAATTAAAAGGGAATTAGATAAGTTAGCAAGCAATGGATCCAATTACAACTTTTAACACTTTTGTCATGTAGCTCATCAGCTACTAATTGTTGATTTCAAGAGGCAGAGAGGTTATAAAAGGGGAAGGATCATGTCTGCTACTTTTTCTTTTAAATATCTGTTATTGGACAACTTCAGAAACAGCTACTGGGCTAACTGTATCTCTGGTTTAATCCAATAGGGCTACTTTTCTTTCATGTTCTATTTATTTTGACCAAAAGAAACTTATTTGTTCAGGTTCAGAGGCATCATCAGAATCCCAGATCCTATTGACATTTTTAAAGATATCAAACCAGTTAGAGATGCTAACACCTGTGTAATAAGGAGAAGAATACAAATACTGGTAGAAACCGCTTCATTTCACCAAGCAAGATTGTGCTTCAGTTAGGTTGACCAAGTTCAGTCTTTAACTTCGTTCATATAATTGTAGTAATGATCTCCACCAGCTTTTCTAGTTGTTACTGAAGGTGGCTGGAGTATCAAAGCAACCAGTCCACCCCTATGGCTGAATCTGTGCCTCTGCAGCAAAGGGCAGGGTTTCCAGGACACTGGCTACCTTAAAGTTTCAAACACAGAAAAGATAAATAAAGCTCAGATAACACAGTTACAATCTCCTAAGCATTTGCTGTCTCAGTCTATGGGGCCCACTGGTCTGTGGGCAATCAATGGAAAACAGCACAGCCCAAAGTTTTATGTCTGATATTTATGCTGGAGGAAGCTAAAGCAGTTATGTGAGCACAAACTTAATTAAAAAGTATGGTTTATGTTATGTTGAACTCAAGATCACATCCCAAGTATTTGCTGACGCTCACCTTTGCGCCAAAAGGAGCAGAACACGTTCGTAGCTGTGAGCAGGGTTATATATCTGCCAAAGCGGCACACTGAACTCTTGGTAATTCCCCCTGCCATAGGCTTCAGGCTCAAAGAGATCTAATCCTAAAACCCACAGTGGTTGAGGGGTTTTCGGATTTTTACTGAGTCAAAAAGAATGTCAAACAATGATGGAAATATTACAGAGGGAAAAGAGATGAGCCAGGAATCTGCTTTTTTCTCAACTACTGTAATTACAACCAGTCTTTCAGGAGACAAAAATAGCATTTCTTTTGCTTTTCTCCCTGTCAGATCATATACTCTTTCTTGACTGTCTCTTGAAAATATTTTTGTAGAGGAAACTGTAGCTCTGGGAAAGACCTTTATCAACATCTCACGTTTTTCTAATATTCATGGATGTTGCCTGTTCACAGAGAAGTGTTGCACTATCTTGAAGCATAATGCTTAGGTAAAAATTAGTGTTATTCAGAGAACTGGGGTTTTTATGCCATATGCCTTTTCATTTTACACCTTATTTGGCCAGTGACTCCAGAACATTGTCTTATGGCCAAATACCCAATTTCACTTCCCAGCAGAATAAATGTCATGCCTCTCACAATCTCTCTATTTTTATGCGTGTGTCAGGGTGCATGGGGAGGGTGTTCAGTTCACGGTTAGTGGACTAGTGAGGCTGCTCAGCGGTGTGCTGAACAGGGACGTGGTGCCTGCCGAGAAAGGGCACTGCCCCATCCCTCCAACATCTCTCCCAGCAGCTCTGCTGCACATCAGCAGTGCAGGTCCTGGGCTCTGACCCACACCGTATTGCTCCATCTCTATCCACGAGTCTTTTTTCTATTCAGTTAGCTCGTCATCCACAGTCCTTCTCATATTCCAGTCAGATTACCTACATTACACTCAGCCTGCCCCTTCAAATGCCTCTGAATGTATTTATTATGACAGTCAGAAGCTTGATAGCATTTAATAATATTTCTTATGAGCAGATTCTGTTCACGGATCCCACAGCCCTGCCTGCAATGTAAGGTCA